AATCAAATATGGATATAGGTCATTTCGATCTAATAAATAAATAAAATTTTTATTTTTCTAATTTTTTCAATTTCGGATTGGATATCCGATAACATAATTAATCGGATATGGATTTAACATTCAAATGTCCATCGGATTATTGAATCGTATCGGATATGATAATTATTATTAACGGATCGGATCAAATATCTGTTACTCTCTATCACTGTCTGGGACCTCTATCGCTTGCATACTGTATCTCCTCAGATATAACTCTGACCCTCCTCATCGATCAACGGTGTCAGCTCATTGAGCAATTCAAGCTGACAAATTAACATTTCACCGAGTTAATGACCATGTATTGAGATTTCGAAATGATGTACAACATAAATCACAAATGAATAATATGTATCTCATGATCATTGAAGAGAGCTGATAACTGTCAACTTTGTCCCCATGGATAGTTGTTGAATGTGTCAATGTCATCACACAACCTCCAAATGAAAGACGTCGATCGACGTCTTCTTGTAATTATATCTCAGTATACCCTCTAGTATAAACATCATCCTCAACTTCAACTTGTCAAATATATCGTCGCATTCCTTGAATGCATCTCCTAACTGTGCTAGAGTTATCGTTATAAGCAAGATCGGTGTAATAGGTCTGCGTGCTCCTCATCCAACAAATTTAGGACTAATGCGAAGCTGACGAAGTTATAATTCGACGTAACTTTGTCGGGAATTTGTCTCATGGCGACATCCAAATGGCAATCCATCTTGTAAAATTTAAAATATTTATATTTCTTTGTTATTTATGTCAATTAATTATTTTTATTGCTTAATTAACATTTAAGTTACTTGTTTATTGAATTTATTTCAATTAGTTATTTATTACTTATTTAAATAAACAACATACATAAATAATTAACATAATTCATGAAATATTTGAATAAACAAATAAAGTATAAAATGAATAATTATATATTAAACAAATAATATACATGACAATTTGTATGGTTTGGGATGACGATCCATCTTCAGTTGCAGTTTCTCAATAGCCTCCTCAAACACTATATTCTCACAACTACCACAATCAATTATCAGCTTGTAGACTATCAACAACTGTGCTGGTTGTGCGGAAAATGTTGGTCCTCAACCAACCGTTCCCTGAATCTCCCTTGGGAGTCAGCAGACTCTTTCGAACGACTAGGGTCTCCTAGCCATCTCCATATAGCACGTCCTCATCGTCACCATCATCATACACAGGCTCCCCAACTTCCTCGAACTCCTCTATCATATCCTTCTCAATCAGAAGATTTTTATTCTTCTGACCAGCAGGCTTCCTGCAATCTGTCGCCCTATGTCCCTGTTCGCCACACCCCTGAACACTTAATACCTGAGCTGGAATTGTCCCATTGTGGCTGATAAGCGGGATGAGATTCTTGAGTATGAACTGGCCAACTACCTTCACCTCTGACCACTGGCCTCTTACTCTGCTGTTTCTCCACTGCGAGTGCCCGCTGATATGCCTCAGAAACTATCCACAATGAATGAAGGCTAAGAACATCCTGCAGGGGCTGCCTTAATCCCTCAAATACCGTGCTACCATCTGTTCCTCCGTCTCAGATAAATCATTCCAAGCCACCAGCTGATAGAATTCCCCCATAGAACCATTGACTGATCTTACACCTTACCTCAGTGAATGGAGCCTCTGAAACAAGGTTTAAGTATAGCCGAAAGGGAAAGAGTGCCCTTTCATCTTCTTCTTCATCTTCTCACAATCAGTAATTTTGAATTTTCCCTATCGCTCCCATGAACGCTTCAACTGTTCCCACCATGCAGATGCTCTACCTTTGAGTTTGATGGCGACCAGTTTCACTTTGACACGATTTGGAACCTCCTTATATTCAAAAATCCGCTCCACTTTATTCAGCCAATCAATAAATCATTCAGCCTGCAACGTTCCAGAAAACTCGGGTAGATCTACTCTGAAACCGAGATCCACATGACGATCCTCTCGTCCACGATGCTCCCAAACTCGAGCACGATCGTGATACGAGTTTTCAAAACTGATATCGAAATCGTAACCCTCCACATCATGATTATCGAACTCCTGCTCCGCCAAACGTTGGGTTAACTCCGCAACTTGTCTCTGCAAATCTTCAATCGTCACATCTTGAATATTACGATCACGGTGTGGGACTTCCTCAATCAGAACCTGCCTCGACGACCACGACCACGTCCACCAACCATTATAACTGATGGAATTTATCTTCCAAGAAGATGCTGATACTCTGATACCAACTGACGCCTTGTAAGATAGTGATTATCCTATTGGCTTGTTGTAGCAGATGATTCGCAAGAAAGTAACGAAAGAAAAATGCCCAAAATTAGAGAAAATATTCTAAAATCAATTTAATATTATTAATAATGCAGAATCACCAAAATTAACCCACAAGCAGGGTTAAATAGCTGTAAAATACGAAATTATAGGAAAATTACCAAAAATGAAAAAATTTCGAAATTATACCAGAATAAAATATTAAGTAAAAGAACTAGGTTGCCAAAAATTTGGATCAATTCGCGTTTTCTAACATATGGAAAAAGGGAAACGAAATATTACCATAAATAGCAAAAAATAACTAAAAATTAAATTTTGGAAAGCAAAACAGCGGATTTTGGGCTCAAAATTGATGCCCACCGAGCATAGCTGGATGGCCACGACGTACGCACCGAAGAGAGCTTTCCGGATTGGGATCATAATAACGATTCTGATAACCGTAGCCAAAGTTATGGCCAAATTACCAAAGACATGTCAAATTCTCCCAATTAAGGAAATAATTGCGATTCACTTCCCATTTTTGCACCGATCCACCATCTCATGGTATCTCAGCGCCATCATCATGTTATCTGACAAATCAGTATCACTCGACTCGGATCCTCCTACATCACATAACTAATTATAAAACTCCAAAAGGAATTTAGGTAGATGATATGTTGAAATTTGAGATATCTCTATAAACTATGTTGTTATGCAAAAGAAATAGAATTGAAAAGGAAAAAGTTATCAACAACGCTTTTATGCATAACGTACTACATTATATTATGAATAGCGAGGAATCAAAATAAACTCGTTGGAACAAAATAACAATTGGTCATTAAAAGGATGAACTCCTAGTAAAATTGAATTTACTAGAAAAACTTGAAATTTCTAAACTTATAGAACGAAAATCTGAAGATGTATACTTATGCGAAAAGTAAATGAGAAAATGAAGTCATAATATATAATATATGACTCCTAAAATAATAAATTTCGTGAATACCGTAGTTGATGCAATCATGAGTCCATGCATGAAATTTGAGTTTCGAATATATTCAATTCATCAACATGATTATTAATGTTATCCTTGAAATATTTAATATGTTTGACGAATAGGTCAAGTGATATTATTATGAGGTAGAGTAAATACACGTTTTTTTTTTCTATTACCAAAGTTTTGTTCCATTAAATTTTCCCGACAAGGCTTTTTAATAAACAACTTTTGCAGCGTGCTTAAAGAATGATGTACTCTTTTTTCTTCATCAGGATTTTTTCACATGTTTTTCTTGATAAGGTTTAACGAGACATATTCTTTGTGTAATGAAAATCCATAACATACAAGATATTTACCCTCAAAATAATATTCTTATATGTATGACTCTCCAAGAGATCAACAATAACTATTTTTCAAATTATTATGTTACTTCAATCACCAAAGGTTGATAAATATCTCATATGAAGATAGTATTATTTGAAGATATTAACGTACAAGAGGATGATGAATTGAAATCAGGGATAGCAACTGTATTCTTTTTCCTTAGCTCAATTTTTGTCCCATCGAATTTTCTTGGCACGATTTTAATGAAGCATATATATTGTCATATGTTATTCAATGGAGAATGTTGTAAATAATATGATTATTAGTGAATGATAATCATACCTCTACAATCCTAAATTTTATTATCATTGTATCTTTAATTCTTCTCTACAAAATAAGATTTTGATTCTTAATAATTTCATTATCTTCTCTACCTTCTTCTCTTTCCTTTATAGGTTATAACGAATATAAAGTTTTTGTGAACTAATTTGTAACTATTATTTATTCTCAACCAAAGAGGGTACAATTGTCAATATCGGCCATATGTGGGGAAAAAACATTTAAAAAATGCTATAATTAGAAGGGTTGTTATCTTATTACTATAAGTTTTATTTTATCCACATTTTAATTGCATTTTAAAGCTCTTAAACTTTGATCATATAACACTTAAATCCCCAATGATTTTTCATAAAATTCTTATTCTCAAATTTTTCATTACTCAACACATTTGATGTTTGATAACAGTTTTATATTCAAAAATCCATTGAAATAACATAAAACAACTTATTTTTCTGTCATATTTTTAAAAAGTAATTAAATAAAAAATACGAAAAAATATTTTTTCCTCATTTTAAAAGTGTGAAAATAAAATATTTTGATATAAATCATCATCAAGGATGAAACATACTAATTAACAGAAAGTTGAAGATAAGAATTCAATCGGAAAAAAAAAAAAGTTGAAAAAACAATTACTACATTGGGAAAAGATTGAAGAACTTAACTAGAATTAAAATATGATTTATGAAATAAAAATTATGGTGACAATAGAATCACCCTAAATAGAATGCACAACAGTTTTCAAATACTTTTGATGACTTCAACATGAGTTAGAAATCCATTTAAACCTATTAAAAATTTATGCAATTAATGAAATCCTTAAAATGCACAAGTTATTAAATACACCTATAATGTAATAAAATTTGAGTTACACCCAGATTTTACGAACATAATCTGCTATAGAGCATCTAAATTTATTTGAACTTTTAAAATATATTCAAATTTAAATTAAGGACACCAAAAAAATAATTCAGACCAGAAAATCAACTCATTTTCTCACCCATTGTAAGTACTGATAGGGGCATTAGATACTATAACGTACGAAGAAATCAACAATAATACAAGATTTGCCTCCACGACATTAATTAATTACAATATGCTTGATCCATTTCTCAAAATATTCTTGTGAGTCAATGCAAAAACTGGTGTTCTGGAAGTTTATAAAAACTTGCACCTGTTTCAAATTCACAAAGGTGAACATTGGTACTCATCGAGGGGTGTAAAGCTATCTTCATGACAAGATCAACACGATAAATCTGGTCCGAGAACTTTGTAAGTTTAAAGCACACTAGAGTACTCCACATGGTTACTCTAGGAAAATTAGTCAAAAACTAGTCTGCTTTCACACGCCGTCGCCAGTTTTTGAAGACAACAAATCCAAACGATGTCATCATTCCAGACAAGTAGCCAAGAATAGCTCCATAAGTCACACAAATTGGCCATTCCTGCTTATAATGTCAATTTGTTCACAAATCAGAAAAACAAAAAGTTACCAACTCACTCTCGTGTTATAGCCAAGAACAGTAGTATTTTAGCTAGATTCGTAGAAGAGAAGTAGCCTAAAATATTATTGACAAAACAATGTAATCCACAAATAGGCCAAACTGCATGAAACTCTGGCAAAGATTACATAATTAGGACATTCTAATGCCGAATAACGAACCTAAGAAACGGAGATATTCATGATATTTAATTTGCAATTTGCTGTAAAGAGAAATCAGCGGTTTTAAAAAAAGGCCCATTGAACCATGTTAATCATTCTTTTCAACTTTGATGAGAATAGAAGAAAAAAATATTAATAGTTGATGAAAGAGATTCGGTTAAAAAAAGCCCAGATTTAAATGCAGGGGTGGACCCACTTGAGGCCAAGTGGGGTCGGCGGCCCCCACTCGATTTTCAAATTTTTTATTTTTCTTGAGGTTTTTTCCTATGATTTTTTGGTTTCGCCCCCACTGAATCTTCATCCTCGGTCCACCCCTGTTTAAATGCATCTATAAATTGAACTTTAGCTGTGCAGAACCGAGTCCAGTAGCC